GACTACTTACTACCGAGGAAGTGTGTGTAATTAATTTTGATAAAATGACCTTTGGGAACAACAAAGGCCAAATTCCGGTAAGTGTTAAAAGAGAGGTTGAATGTTGCCATCAAGCTGAAGTCAAAGTGACTGAAGAAGTTGATGATGGTGAAGTGGAACCAGGTATAGATATTAAAGCAGAGCAGGAGAAAAGTTAAGATTTGAAGCCTATAATTGATTTTCTAAAAGCAAGTGTTTTGCGCCCTGCTTTGGAGAAGGTGTCTAGCTTAAGCCCTGTGACAAAGAACTATTGGGAACAATGCGACCAGCTGAAGCTTGAAGATGGTATTCTTCTCCAGAGATTGGAAAGTGACGACCTGGCAAACGATTATACCGAGAAAGTTACGGGAAGGTGTGCTGCGTGAATACCATGATAGTTTAACAGGAAGACATCTCGGAGTTAAGAAGACATTGAGTCACCTATGACAGAGATTTTACTGGATATGTATGAGGCAATATGTGAAAGAATGGTGCAGGATATGCAGTACATGTTGTGCTAAAAGGGACCCAAGCATAAAGGACTTGTTCCAATGAAGTTATATCAAGTTGGTGCACCAATGGAAAGATTAGCCATTGACATTGCTGGTCCTTTGCCCCAAACTCGTGCTGGAAACAGGTACATTTATGTGGTGAGGGATTATTTCACCATGTGGCCTGAGGCATATGCAATACCAAATCAGGAAGCTAAAACCGTAGCTTCGGCTATTAGTGATTTTTCTTCATATTTGGTATGCCATATGAACTGCATTCAGATCAAGGCCGTAACTTTGAATCAACTGTGTTCCATGAATGCTGCAAGTTGTTTGGCATACGAAAGACCAGTACAGCGCCACTTCACCCACAGTCTGATGGGATGGAAGAACAGTACAACTGGACACTTGGACAGGAATCGGCAAAGTTTTGAAATAGCCGCCAAGATCACTAGGATATCTTACTCCCTCCACTGTTGATGGCCTATAGAACAGCAGAGCATGAAGCCACTGGATACACTCCAGCAAAGTTGATGTTTGGTCGGGAACTTCAGTTGCCAGTGGATCTGTTAACAGGATGCCCACCTTACGAACAGTTGTCTGAAAATGTGTCAGAGTTCGTGAAAGTGTTATCGGAAAGGATGGATGATATTCACCATCAAGTGCATTCAAACTTGAAAACGTCTGCTGATTCGATGAAGCTATGTTATGATAAGAGATCTACTGAAGTCAGCTTTGTACCGGGAGACAAGATGTGTTTGTATAATCCCAGGGAGACCAAATGGACGTATCCAAAGTTGTCATTTCCATGGGAAGGCCCATATGACATTGTGGATCGTCTCTCAGACATAACTTTCCGAATAAAATGTGGTCGGCGAGGTAAGCCAAAGGTGGTGCATGCCAACAGGCTTTGGCATTATCATGGTCCAGGATATTTCAGTTGGAATGAAGGGAACAATGGAACAAATGATGCTGCTAAAAACGTGTCACCTGAAAAAGCCACTGTCGAAGATGAAACTGTATTCGGTTTTTGGAAGGGAAATAGAGAAGACCTTGATGAAGTTACTACCACTGATGTGACTGTTACCAATGATAGGACGTTTCCTGATGAAGCAGATGGACCCCACTTGAAGCAGAAGCCAACGAGACGTACGGAAGAAGATACATCCCGTAAAATTAAAAGACTTTGTTGAATTTTGATTTTGTGTTTGTAGATTCTGTACATTTAATTAAGTTATTGTTAATTGTTTATTGGCTTAATGTAAGTGGCTATTGTTCGGGACGAACAAAACTAAGGGGGGCAGTGTTGCGTCAGCGAGGTCACGTGACTCGTTCTCTCGAACCTTCGGGAATTGTCTGGAGATTACTAGATATAGGGTAGCCTGGTATATGTAAGAGGGTGACAACGTGACGGGACAATAATGTGTGTGTGTAGACAGTGAGTAATTGATCTGCAGTCAGAGAGTATTATTGAGCACGTTCGTTGTTATAGCGTTTGTTTTAGCGCGATTGTTGAAATTAAGTGTATCGTAAAGTTATATTCGGAAAGAATAAACCAGTTTTATTAAGTAAGTAAGGACTTGTGTCGCTAAAGTTTCGTCGGAACGAAGTTACGGAAAGTTAATTAACAAACGGAGACGTAACAATATTAAACGTTAGGCCTATCACTTCTACGGCACTTAACTTCACGCTAAACTTTTCCTTGTTCGTAATTTTTAATCTCTTCTGCTATTGTCTGTCTGCTGTTTCCGCTCATCTCACACTATTTGTATTTTTATCACTTAATCGTCTTCTCGGATTTTAGAAATCTCTATATTCTCTACGCCAATGTATTGTACTCGACGTTCGGTAGTCTCAACATCAATGAGCTATAAACACAACTTCCTACAATCGTCTGTTTTTACATTTTCTTACAACGAAACTAAACAATAATAAAATATTCATTCACAAAATAAATTAATCAATTATATCTAAACTAAACAGTATTTTATATCATGGCATACGTCATATATGCATTTACATGTCTAAGGTGTAATTTTGGCTATGTAAGCTCTACGATAGCTTGTCTGAGCAAAACCCAGCATATAATCAAGCGTTCACTCTTCGCCACTGCTTACAAGACTGTGACACAAATGTCCCTTCTAATCAAGTGCAGTATTCAGTCTGTTCCTGTATTTTGTTGTTGTTTCAGTGTAGCATGAGAATCCAGTTTCACATACGTGTGTTGTAGTGAAGGGAAGGAGCTAAGAAATTGCGTGTTTTACCACATTTGGGTACTTTTAAGTTAGGCTACTCCAAAAATTAATTGAAGCTTTGTTTTAGTGTGGAGTCAGAAGACATGTTCATCAAGCTCTTATATTTTTACACTGATAACATCTTTCCTTGCAGTGACAGATGCACTTCGTTTAGTTTTTAAGATATGTGCAAGTTACACTAGTCTCAAAAGCCAAGAGGTACATAACTAACAGTCTGATAATCGAAATTGGTAATCCACATAGAATACCAGTACTTTACAATGAAGCTCAAAAATCTCACAAGCACTTTGCCTCATGACAACCACCTCACTTCAATATGTAAAAGCAGCACTGTGTGCTGACTACTAATTTCTTCACATATAATTTTAAATATTCTGGATTTCAGTGATTAAGTTTTAATATAAATGATAATTTGCACTGCCGCATTTAGCATATCGTTAAGAGATGTAGACATCTTTTAATAGCAAGTGCTTATTTGTGGAGAACATAGTAACTGCTAGTACAGCCTGGTGCCACAGTTTTGATTTGCATTGCAGCACCTGCTATATTCCCAACCATTGCCCTGGCATTATTATTTCAGACATCAACACATTTTTCCCAACTAAGTTCATATATTTTCATGAAGTTGTTGATGTAAATAAATATTTTTTCACCAGTTGTATTGCTTTGCAAAGATTTACATAAGAACAGGTCTTCCTCAATAGATTTATGAAATATATAATGCACAAACACCAACAATACTGCAACCACTGACACGTCAGTGGACTCATGTAGCTGTAGTGAATATGTATTGTACAATTTCAGTCGGGAAAGTAGCTCATTTTCGATGTCAGCAGCAAGATCTTGAATTCGATGGGGGACAGCATTGTTCAACAGATGTAATACCTCAATGTTTTTACTAGCCTGCCCATCAAGCTTATATTTTACAATATCCTTCATGCAAGGTTTTCTCCAATCACATGTGCTTCTCTTATTGAGGTTTTCATAGTGATGTTGCGTCAGCGAGGTCACGTGACTAGTATCACGCCACGTCCTTCTCGAACCTTCGTGAATTATCGGGAGACTACTAGATTGGGGGTAGGCTGGTATATATAAGATGGTCACAACGTGACGGAACAATGAGTAATTGAACTGCAGTCAGAGAGTGTGTAATTGAACTGAGTATTGTTGAAGTCGAGCACGTGAGACGTTTGTTATAGCGCGACTGTTGAAATAAAGTGCATGACAAAGTTATATTCAGAAAGAATAAACCAGTTTTATTTAAGAAAGGAGATGTGTCGCTAAAGTTTTGTCAGAAGGAATTTACGGAAAATTAACTAACGAACGGAGACGCAACAGTATATAAGTACATTAACCTTTCTCTCTAAAAAACAAATGTCTTTATTTTTATATTCGGAATAATTTGTTTCCAAATGCTGTCACAGTTTAGCAGGTGCCATAGAACTGTTGGCTAATATTTTGTTGCACAAGACAAACTGTTTCTCAAGGGAATCTTTACTTCTAATGCATACAAATCCATAAGACATATAGCTCTCGTCATACGTATGTTTCAGTTGATGATTTGGGTGCAGATGCTTTATTTCAAAAAAATCATTTTCCGATTTTTCAGCAGTAAAATGCCACAGCCAATATATCAGAATAACTTGTTTTTCGCTTTAAAGTTCCTTCTTTTAACCACCAATCCATGGTTAAGTAGTATTAGTACTTGAAATATCTGTAATTTTATAATGTAACGAAATATTTTTAAACTCAAAACTAGCTTGTTGTTTCCTTGAAACACTGCACTCGAATATCACTAGCGACTAACTTACAGTTAGTCATCAATTAGGCTCTGCCCCTAAATGAGATAGACAATGACAAAGGGAATACAATGGGGTACGATTTATGGGCTGACGAGCTTTTCAAACCATACCTATATCTGGCCCGCTTTTGTACTCTGACTACACTACAGAAAAAGCTATCGCGAAATCCCTGGATATATCGTGCGGAACCCCAGGGTTCCGAAGAACACGTTTGAGAAACGCTAACATAGAATGATAACAAATAAAACTATAACTAATATCATTTTGAAAAGAAATTGCATTGATAGAGTGAATAACAAACACCACAGCTTTAACATTAATCTAAAATATAAGTAAAGTGTTTACACTTTTAAAATTCATGAGTCTATAATAAACCAAATACGATACTTTAGCCTTCAAATCAAACCACCAGAGGGTAAACTCATGGTTTTGGTTTCGGGTTTTTCAATACGTCAATCAAACACACGATAACTTATGTTATTAGATATTGACTCTGAACGAAGTCCTGGGTTTTGTTTCACTATATTTTGTTTTATTCTTAATATTAAAAGTTACTTTTAAGGATAGGTGTATTATTAAAATGTCCGATTTCACCAAACATTCGGCTTCAGGAAAAGTGTTGTCGAACTTGGATGTTATTACCTGTCCTGTGTGCCTGGAAATTTTTGATGATCCAGTGAGGATTTGTTGTGGTCATTCGTAAGTTTAACTTCAATTTTAAAGTTAAAAAACACATATTTTAATTTTTAACTTGTTATAATATTAAATTATCAGAAATTTGTAAATTGTAGGTTGAAATTTTTAAACTAGTTTTACTTTTTTATAATGTCATGATTGAAAACTTTTGTTTTGGTACTCCGTTTGGTTCAGCGAAATAGTAAATAATAATAATAATTATTTTAACATAATGTTTTGGAACAACATGGGACATATTGGTCTATCTCGGCTGTTCCATCTTCTAAACTAAACTAAATCTATTAATAAATAAATAAATAAAAAATCTCAAAGCCAGCCCTTATCATTCATATACATTTCAAGCGTTCTCTTAAACTCACTTAAAATTAAATTTACTGCTTCCACAACATCTGAAGGCAACTCAATCGAATGGCCAATCATTGTCTTAGCTGAAGATGACTCCTACCCTGCCAAAATTTATATTTGTGTCCCCTAGTGCTGCTAATCTCACTGTTAAGTATGAAAAAAGATGATACATCAACACTATCAATTCCCATTATAATATTAAACACCTCAATGAGATCCCCCCTAACTCTTCTTTTTGCAAGAGAAAACAATCTGAGAGACTTTAACCCCATATGACAACCCCTCCATCCCATGCATCATTCTGGTAACCCTTCTCTGAACCCTTTCCAACAATTCAATGTCTTTCCTAAAGTAATGAGCCCAAAACTGAATGCAATATTCCAAATGTGGCCTAACCAGTGACCTATACAATGAAATTATAACCTATTTGTGCTTGTATTCAAAATCTCTGTAGATACAATCTAAAATCTTATTTTCCTTATCACTAGCAACAGCACACTGCTTGGATGGCTTTAGAGACTTATCAACTATTACACCAAGATCCCTTTCTTTCATGACACTGTTAAGGTTACTCCCATACAAATTTACTTATAATTAAAATTATGATAACCTATGTGCATTATCTTGCATTTAATATAATTAAAACCCATTTGCCATTTATTTGCCCAACTCGCTAAATGATCTAAATCCTTTTGTAAATCAGCAGCATCCTCTTCACAGCTAGCAACATCTAAAACCTTAATATCATCTGCAAATTTAAGTAATTTATTGACCTTTCCTTCATTTATATCATTGATGTAAATCAAAAAGAGCAAAGGTCCTAAGACTGAGTCCTGAGGTACCCAATTTGTGACATTAATTCCAGTTTGACTGAACTCCATTTGTAACAACCCTTTGCTTTCTTCCATTCAGCCACTCTTCTATCCAATTTGCTAACTTATCCCCAACACCTATAGAGCTATTTTTTACAAGCCTTTTATGTGGTATCTTGTCAGTTGCTTTCTGACAATCCAGATACACCAAATCTACACCCTTACCCTCATCTACATAAGCAATAACCTCTTCAAATAATATCAAAAGATTTGTAAAGGAAGATTTTCCTTTAGTGAAACCATGTTGACTTTCCAATAAAATTCTAAACTTTGTTAAATGACATTGCAAAGCATCTTTTATCATACTTTCCTTAACTTTTCCCATAACTGATGTAACACTAATGGCTCTATAATTACTGGGACAATTTTTATCACCTCCCTTGAAAAGAGGAGTTACATTAGCTCTGCTACCTGCCCTCTGTTCAAGGACTGAGAAGAAATGATAGTTAATTGGCTCACATATCTAATCTTTAACCTCCTTCAAAACCGTGGGGTAAATATTATCTGGGCCAGGAGCCTTATCATTTTTTAAACTTCCCAGTGTTTTTTTTAACCAACTAGAATTAATGCAGTCATCTTGTTTGATCTCATTTCCATCTATTAACTGTTCAAGACATGGAATACTGCTTAAATCTTCGTTAGTAAAAACTGAAGAAAAAGCAAAATTTAATAACCTAGCCATCGTATAATCATCAGATACTAGCCTTCCTTTATCATTCCTCAAGGATCCAACCCCCATCCTAACATTTTGTTTACCTTTAATG